CTCACATAAGATATTTTTTTAACCATTGTGTTCCAGGAACCTAACAAAGAAGTGAAGACTACTTTCAAAATATGTGTGCTTACACTTGTGTTTACCTTGCATTATGCAGTTTATCCCCATTCCTACCCATTTAGTTGATCTTAGATTGTAGGTAGAGTTCATTCCTGTATACAGCATTTTAACTGTTTAAACTTCAGTGTGTGTTTAAACCTTTATGAGCCAAAGGTTAAAGATAAGTCTGCCTTCGGAGCCACTCCACAGAGCAGTGTAATCTGACTCATGTATCAAGGTTCCGCCCAGTAAACAAAGCAAAACAAATGGGCAGTAAGCACGCTACAACCTTTTTTGCTAAGTCACTGCTTGTCTGACTTTCAGTTCCTAAACCCTGCACTCTTAACCAATCAAATCAGAAGACAGGATCTTGCTCCTCCCACATGGGGAGGAGTTGAGTTGAGTGAAAGTTTTTTGACTACATAACTGCAAGCATGACTTGTAGTTTTTCTCCTTTGCAAAGTTTTTTAATGTAGTTGTTGATTTTTCCTAAACTTAAAGTGCTTTTACTTGTACTTGCTTTGCAAAATGTTATTGTATTGCATCCTTCATCCCATAAAGTCAACATTATGAAAGTGCTATTTTAATAGTAAATGATGTTGTAATAGTACACTACCTAGATATATGGTAACTGTTCAATAAAACACTTAACAGTCTTCAGCATATTCACATTACTGTGTTATTAGCATTGTGTTACCACTGTGTTAAACGCTGTTTTGTATGCATGCTGATGTGTGTGTGTGTAAACATCTATGAAAACTTCAGGTGCAGTTGTTCCTGTGGATGATGCGCTACATTAGCACTGGGCTGCTCTTCTTCATCGGTCTCAAAGCTCCAGGGTTGCCAAGGAGACCTTACATGCTACTGATAAATGAAGATGAGCGTGACGTAGAAAACGGTAGACAGGTAGTGACAGGGCACTTCCACTGTATATTAAAACACACGAGCAGCTTTGCTTATATACTCTATTAATGCTTTTTTTAATGGTTTCATATCTTTCTCTGGGTCAGAGCCTGTTGGGAAGATCAGAGGAGAACCAGTCCACCTGGAAGGGTTTTTGGAAGAAGGTCCGTCTGCTTGTTCCCTACATGTGGCCGCAAGGCAACAAGTTTCTCCAGCTGCTGGTCCTCTTCTGTTTGGGGCTGCTGGGAGTGGAGAGGGCTATTAACGTCTTTGTACCCATTTACTACAAGAATATTGGTGAGTGATGTGTCTTCGTCATCATGCACTATAGACTCAAATGTTCAGTCACTCACACTGATGGCACTGCAGTGACATTGTTGCAGTCAGATTAAAATCTCATAATGCTTTTTATTTATTCATTGATTTTTTTTTTTCACCACAGCTTGAAAGCCTCATTTTGTCTCATTCTCCTTGATGTCTGTGTCCTTTTTTCAGTGAATGAACTGACTGATGGCAGCAGCTGGCACACTGTAGCCGTTACAGTGTGTATTTATGTCCTGCTTAAGTTCATGCAGGGTGGAGGAGCAGGTAGGACTTACTTCACGGATGCCCAGTGAACATTGTAGTACCACAGAGAGCTGCACAATGAGCATCAGCCTCACATGCCACACTAGCATTAAGGCTGCTCCATTATTTTGACCACCAACCTCTCTTCTTTTCAGGTTCCTCTGGATTTGTCAGTAACATGCGCTCTTTCTTCTGGATCCGCGTGCAGCAGTACACCAATCGACTGGTTCAAGTCAATCTGTTTGGCCACCTGCACTCCCTCTCTCTGCGCTGGCATCTGAGCCGCAAAACTGGTGAAGTACTGAGAAGTATTGATCGTGGCACAGCTTCCATTAATAGCTTGCTCAGGTAAGATGGCATCAAACAGGATCACAATAATTATTAACAATTAGTAATAACTCAAATAATGATTCTGTTAGGCAATGTTTTTATCCTTAAATGCTCCTCTCGTGTTAGAATCTGAAGAAAAATTAAACTCAGGTATTGGTGTTTTTCCACAGCTACATAGTGTTCAGCATCTTTCCAACCATTGCTGATATTATCATCGCCATCATCTACTTCAGCGCTCTTTTCAATGCCTGGTTTGGCCTTATTGTCTTCATCTGCATGACCCTGTATCTCAGTAAGTTATGCATGTTGAACCTGAACTAGCTTCACTTTGACCCAGTTTAATAATGAAAAATAAACTTCAAGTGTGAAAAACATTTCTGTACTTCAGCATTGGCTAAGATAGATTTCAGATCCTCTTTGACTGTGTAGTAATTCCTTATTTAAATGTTTGCCAGCCTTGACGATCATCATCACTGAATGGAGAACCAAGTACAGACGAGAAATGAATCAGATGGATAACACTGCCAAGTCCAGGGCTGTGGACTCCTTGTTAAACTTTGAGACGGTAAATTAAATAAGTTTGTGGTTCATAAAGAAGTTTACTTTTCTTTTTATTATTCTTTCATCTTAAAATGCACTTTAAAATACAATTAGTTTTTTCTGGTTCCATAGGTAAAATACTACAATGCAGAGAACTATGAGGTCGGCCGGTTTGAGGGTGCAATCTTAAAATATCAGGTAAGTGCATTTATCAACCGGTTTTGGCACTCCACGGCTTGCCACGCCTTCCCCTGCTGTTTTTTTTCCTAAGCTGGTCTTTGTTTACTTTAACAGGAGTCAGAATAAACCTGCTCTCCTACAGTCTTTCTAGTTATTGCTACCTTTGAGATAGCTTTTAGCATTAAGATGCTGAGTGGAAGCAAATTTATGTCAGGTTTGATTTCAAAACAAAGACAAAATGAAATAACTGGATGTTGGAATTCAGTGTTTTTTTTGTGTGATTTTGCTGCTTTGATTTTCCTGGGACAATATTTAGACAATCCATAATATTCTGCTGCTGAGGACTACCTCTAAATTCTTGGACATCGTTGGGTGTTATGTCACTAAATCATGGCCCCAAAATAAGCAAAATCACTTGCTAAGAGACATTTAACCAACTATTATTGGGTTTGCATGTAGATATTTGTTCCTGTATTTCACCAAAACTAAAACTGAGACACTGATCACAGAGGTAGAGAAAAATGTTTAATTTAGTGGTCTCAGGAATGGAGTCATATATTTAATTGTTGCTTCCTTCTCCTGTTGTAGGAATCAGAGTATAAAACCCAGGCATCTCTGGCCTTACTCAATCAAACACAGAATGCCATCATTGGAGCAGGACTGCTGGCTGGTTCCTTGCTCTGTGCATACTTTGTCACAGAGGGAAAGTTTCTGGTATTGACTTTGTAATAATGGTTTGCATTATGCCTCTCCACATTTCCAAAACTATGCAATTATGTTGTTATTGTTGTTATTATATTATTATAAGTGTCATAAAAACAACTCTAACCTCAGGTCGGGGATTATGTTCTCTTCGGTACCTACATCATCCAGCTGTACACCCCACTCAACTGGTTTGGGACATACTACAGGTAAAAGAAATATAGAGATTATGTATTGCTTTTACCAAAACTCTGTTTGACTCCTGTTCCTTTTGCCAACTGTTGGTTTTTCTCTTCTTTCCCTGCAGAATGATCCAGACTTCCTTTATTGACATGGAAAACATGTTCCAACTTTTTGAAGAAGATCAAGAGGTATGTTTATAGATGGGTAAATATTTGCAGCGGTGATATCAGTGGGGTTTTTTTTTAATGTGTTTTGAGTTTTTTATGTTTTTTATATGTTGCCTAATGCAGGTGAAGGATGAAGTAAATGCAGGAAGCCTTCTCTTTAAACTGGGGAAAGTGGAGTTTGAAAACGTTTACTTCAGCTACACAAACGGGTCGGTTTATTTTTGCGTGGATTTCTTTTATTAAACTTCAGTCTCAGTGTGTTCTTGCATGGCTCTTATAAATTTATTTACTGCTTTACAGCAAGGAGATTCTCAGGGATGTGTCCTTCACAGTTCTTCCAGGACAGACAGTTGCACTGGTGAGTCTGAGGCGAGATGTTTCCTGCTTTCCAGCATTACATTGAGCAGTTAAGGTGTTACTAACATTACCGATTATTAACATATCTTCAGGTTGGGCCGTCGGGATCTGGGAAAAGCACAATCATTCGACTGCTTTTCCGTTTCTATGATGTTCAGGGAGGCTGCATTCGCATTGATGGCCAGGATATATCAAAGGTAAGAGGTTTGGCACCAGAGCTACTGTGTGAGAAATATTTGAAACTTCCCGTCATCCAGTCGACAGCTGTTTATGAAATCTACATTATAATGAAGTCATTAATCCAGTAAAACACAAATCAGCCAATTCTCTTATTGTAGAAGTCATAAAGTCTTTGTTATTACTATAATTGCACAGACTAGACTTCTTATTACTTTATCTTCATCATCTTTCCTCAGGTGAAACAAACATCTCTGCGATCTCATATCGGCGTGGTTCCCCAGGATACCGTGCTGTTCAACGACACCATCCGGGAGAACATTCGCTACGGTCGCACCACTGCTAATGACCAGGAGGTGGAGGAGGCTGCACTCGCTGCTGATATCCATGACAAAATCATGACCTTCCCTGATGGTAACGTGCAGATTAATCCCTCAGTTTATTCAGCATTGTGACGTCAAAGATTTGTTTTCCATACTTTTACTAAAATCGTGGGTGTTTAAATTGAATCTAAGTTTATATCTTTTAAATGTATATTTCTGAAGTTAGCCATATTTTTAAAATGTTCTAAAGTGTAGTTAGTGATGATCACTGTGTAACTGCAGTCTCTTCTATATTGCAAGAAGTTTTTTTCAGCCTCTTTCTGTGTTTTTGTTGGGCAGGTTATGATACCCAGGTGGGGGAAAGAGGACTGAAGCTGAGTGGAGGAGAGAAGCAGAGGGTGGCTATCGCCAGAACTATCCTCAAAGCACCACAAATCATCCTGCTGGATGAGGTATGTGACTGAACTGTCATCTCAAGTGTAAACTCATTGCTGTTAGTTGCAGTTTTCTAATATTATCTCTCTGTAGGCCACATCTGCCCTGGACACACAGACAGAACGTAACATCCAGGCCTCTCTGGCCAAAGTCTGTGCCAATCGTACTACAGTGGTTGTAGCTCACAGGTAAATAAATTCATGTACTGTCAGGTTTTTTTAAGTGAATTTATCCATCTTCATTTATTTCACCGATGACTTGTGGGTCCGTTATTGCTCTGTAATAGGTTGTCCACCATCATCGCAGCAGACCAGATCCTGGTTGTCAATGAAGGGCGGATTGCTGAGCGTGGACGGTAAGTGTGCCTGATTGTTTTGAATGAAACTCCTGCCATAACACATACAGTTGTGAAAAATAAAGCATTCATAGGAATCTGTGAAAAGTTTACAGAGGGTCATCATGAGCATTAATCTCATGATAATTTGGGGCTAGCCATCAACAAGCTTCTGGCATTATTCTGGCTTGATTTTTGCTCACTGTCTTCTTGGCAGAATTGGTCGATATCATTGAAACTGTTTAGTTTTATACTTTTAAGCATAGTCAGGGCTCTAGAGTGCGACCAGTTTTTCAATGGTGCAACTAAATAAAATCCTGTCACACCGGTGCGACCAGCTGTTCCAGTAAAAAAAAAAAAAAAAAGTCCCGGCAACTCTGAAAGTCTCCATGTTGACAACTGACAGACATCATGCCCCTATCGTGTGTCCCAATCAGAGATAGTCAGGAGTGGGACCTCTATGATTGACCGTGGTCCTGTAGTTGTCCCGTAGTCCTTTGTGTGTACGTTTGAAAGTGCAGGTGGAAGAGGGAGGTGAGTAGCTTGAATAAAGCGATATCGATTCATTAAATCTTGAATTTTTTTAATATAAAGACTTTTATAAGACTTTTAAATATAAATGTATTTTGCCAGAAACGCCAGAATCTCAGGTTAAAGCTCTCAAAACTATTTCAACAACCACCAAACAGCTGAAACAGTAAATGAGAGCAGCTAAACAGATTCCACACAAAGACGTAAACACAGAGCGGACCCGACGCATCAGAATCAGCTTTCTCTTTCTCGGCTTTCTCACCCGATGGCACGTACACGGACACGCCGTTGGGGCTGACCGCCGACAGCTCACTGATTCTGATGCGTCGGCGGGTCCGCGCTTTGTGTTTACGTCTTTTTTGCGCTAGATTCTGAGGTGTGGGTTTTGTCTCTCTCCAACCAAAATTCACTGAACCAGCATGTTTTCAGCATTATTCATTCGCTTATTGCCCACCAGTCTACCATTGTTTGCAGCGCTTTTTATTTTTTAATTTTTAAACTTAAATGTCCTCGGCCAAGAAAGCCTAATTTCTGCTGTTCAATACTGAAGAAATGTGATTTTTTTTAAATTTGGCTAATTAAGGTTATCTGCTATAAAAATCCAGGCCAGGAAAATCTCCTTCATGTTTTTCTGTGTTTTATTCTCAGTTACTTTGACACAAAGGCATCTGCTGTGATGCTCACAACTCTGATGAAGTCTCACATATGATCAGAGTTATAATATTTCTGACTGTCTGAGGCAAAATTGACTCGAATTGAATCGGGACCTTGTGAATCGGGACCTCGGGTCGCAAATGCGGCCAAATTTTTCAATGGTGCGACTAAATAAAAACCTTGGTCGCACCAGTGGGCGCACCTAACTTTTGTGCTGGTGCGCCTGGCGCAACCGTGGCAAAAAGTTAGTCTAGAGCCCTGATAGTCTATAAATTTTCAGTTGGGCTGAGGTCAGAACTTTGGAAAGGCCATTTCAAAAGCTTAATGTTTGCTTGCTTTATCCATTAAAAAAACACCGATGTGTGCTTGGGATCATTGTTCTGCTGGAACATCAAATTGTGTCCTGTCTGTTCATTTAACGCAAAGTTGAATTTGGAGGTAGTCCATAAATTTGCTGCTGAGTGGATTAGGGGAAATTCAAATTAAATTCAAACGTGCACCCAATTGTTGTGATTTAAAGTCACTAAAAATTTATGCCGTCCATCATTCTACCCTGGAAAAAGAAAAGTTTTCCCTGACCATGTAATTCATGCCCAAGGTACTGAGGTCATGTGGCTGCAAAACAAGCCCAAGTCATCACTGCTATAGTGCTGACAGTTGTTATGAGGTCTTTTGCCAATGTTGTTTTTTGCAAAATGTGGTGCTGTGCATTATGGCCAAATATCTCCACTTTGTTTTCATCTGTCGATTGCGATTATTTATTTTTTTTTTTGTAATCACAATGTCATGAATTTTTAACATGAACTTTTAACATAAACATTTAACATGCTAACGGATGCCTGTAGAGTCTGAGATGCAGCTCTTTTTTGTGGTTTCTCTAAGCATTGCACGGTCTTACGTTAGAGTGAATATACTGCGACGTCCACTCCTTGCATGAATGGGCAGCTGTTTTGAAGGTTTTCCACTGTAGAATGATGGTTTTCAAGTTGTTTGGAATTATCCCTATAAACACTGCTTGGCAGCAGCAGCTGCTTCTTTAAGATGATTGCTGATGTCCTTCCTCCGTGGCCTTGTGTTAGCGCTCACCTGAATGCTACAGACCAGCAAACCAATAAACAATCAAATATCAATCTTTTCTCCATCCTAGACACGAGGAATTGCTACAAAAAGGAGGTTTGTATGCAGACATGTGGTTGAAGCAACAACAGGCTCAGGACTCAGATTCATCATCAGACACTGAAACCAAAGATCGCCAGTCTGAGAAACTGCAGCCACCATCGACCTCCTCAGGACACCACGGGCACTGAATGTATTTGCTTTAAGAAAAATCTTTTTGTATTCTTTGTTATGGTTGTAAACGGGGCAATGTGGCGAATTTAAATGTTTTGAACACTCTGCAAGGTGAAAGTGTTATTTATTGCTAGATTTTCTAAAGTGAATGTGCAATGACAGGTCAGGGTAAGGTGCCTAATGAAACTGAAGAGGTATTCACACCTTTTAGACTTTATATCCAATAGTTGTGATTCTAGCCACGGTTTTGATGCCAGGAGTTAACAAAAGATCTAAAACTAAAAAGAATTAGCACAGGAGAAGAGACAGATGATACTATGTGCTCACAAACTAAACATAATGGGGACCTGCTGTGCTTTTTCTCTCATAGATGTACTGTTACATGTGCAGATGCTCATTTAAAGACCGCCAAAGATCCAAAAAGATCAGTTTATGTATAATTATTCCTGTGAGCCAGATGTTCAGGTTGCAGACTGCTCAAATTCACAATTTGAGACTTTTGTTTTTTTCTTGTTGTGACTCTCTATGATGTCAAAGAGAGGGGAAATCCCTAATTATCTCAGTCACACAACTCTCACAGTAAGCACTGAAACCCCACCCACCTGCTCCACCTGCTGGGCAGAGGAAAGTTAGACTAAAGAGTTGGACTATTGGAGCTATTAGAGTCTTAGAATACAAATATGGAGGTGCAAGAAAAGCATAATGGGTCCCCTTTGAATAAAATGTGGTGGTGGTGGGGGGGTTCCCGTCTTTCCTCCACCTCTCTACCAAGTTTCATGAAAAACCAGCTTATTAGTTTTTATTGTTAATGAGAAAGAAGCTATGGGGGTTGTATATTTCTGCTTCTGCTGTGGAGCAATAATATGACCTGAGACACATGAAAAGTAAAATCAGTCTTGACTCTGTATCTTGGTGTGCTCAGACTGTTAATTCTGAATTCTGCTGAGTACTATATGCTTAAGAATAGAATGGTGTTAATGTCATCAGGGATTTTGTTTTGTTATTTAAAGTTTTGTTAGCTGAATTTTGAGCTGTATGTATTTGTACATTCTTGGAGCAGGAGAGAGGAGCTGGTAGTGCATAAATATATATCTCCATGTTTATGCTAGTAAAATAATGGGCATTCATCATCATTTTCTGTGTGACACTGACAAAAATATATATTTTTTTCATTTTCTTTGATAATAGCATTGTTGTGTCAGGGTTTGTTTGTTGTTTTTGATCATTCAGTTATCTTTAGACATACTGATTCATGCCTGAAGTTGTACAGTCCAGCCTTCCATTGGCAGAAAGACCACAGACATTTCTCACGGCAGATGTTTCCACTCGGTATGTGGCTGTAATGGGGCCAAGTTATCGATCTGCGCTTGTGCTCAGTTAGCAAGTCAAAATATCTGCATGAAAAAGAATGTCTAGAAATTAAACGTCCATAGATCTAAGTACAGCCATACAATTTTAAATAAGTTATTTGCTGTCTTATATCTACCTCAAAAAAGGTGTTGTTCATAGTTACAGGTTTTGGAAATACTGTTTTATCATCTAATCATGAGCAATAAATGGCATTATTTCCATCCTTTTTCTGTCTTTACATTAAAACAACATCCTGTCCAGTTTAGACTTTGAAGAAATGTTAATGTGATGGTATCTCACATCACTGATGCATTTGACAAACTATTATTTTACTTAGTCCATAGATGCAAAACTGCATCATAATAAGTTTACAATCTGAATTGTTATATCTTATGATAAGTCGTGTAATACCACATGAATTTATTGGTAATAGGGATGGTCTGGTGTTAATTAATTCTGTGCATGTTTCACTTATGGGATATTAAAGTGCCGAAACCTGAAGCCATCCAGCAGTAAAACTTTAGACCTGTTGTGTAATAGCAGCAAACTGTGTCTGTAAATTGGACTAAAATACTGTTTGTTTCGAGAAGATTTGCTGAGACAGGAGATCATTTCACAACTCGGACCTGGATACACTGAATTTATTTATAATAGTAAGACACCATACTGGAAACTGTGTCTGTGGTGGACATTGGTGAGTTTAGACCCTTTTCAGAGGTGCTCAAGCATCCCTAAATTTCATCTTAGCACCCCTAAAAATAACTTTACTAATAGCCGGAACAATAACGTATTTTTGTATTATTTTTCATTTTCCTCTAATGCTACATATTCAGGGAAACTATCTATTGGAGATGATGTTGTGCCAACAACTCTTATATGTAATTTCTTTGCTTATATTTGTAAAATGAATTATTATTATTATTAAGGGTTATATACAAAATAAAGAAATGACCTTCTTTGCAAGTATCTTCATGACTAAAGTTTGCACCTACATTATAATCAATCCAGTCTTTTATGCCTACTTAAAATACCTTGATAAACCTGTGATGTTGCATATGTTGCTATTTCAGCTGCCTTCGTGGCCAGATCTCTCTTCAAAAAGACGTAAATAATAATAAAAATGAATTTAAAAAGGTAAGAAAAAAAGTGAAAAGGACTGCTTATGTCGACCGCCAGCAGTACAAGCCTGATACTCAGCTTGAATAATGCAATTGATATGGGTGGATAGGTGATATAGATAACTGAACCCTGCTTCAATGTTACACCGACCTGTTGGATGACAGCACAAAGACTGAGAGAAGAGCCAGGCGAGAAAGAGAGACATCGGTGTGAAGATAGCAAAACGAGAGAGGAAAAAGAAACCTGCAAGTGTGGATGTGTGGCCAATGTCAAGCCGTTTGTTATAATACCAAGGTAGTTTCTGTTTTGCAAGCATTCACTGATGATGATTTCACATAAGTAAGCAGTGTTACACTCATATCAAGTGTGGATTCTCCCCAGCCTGCTTTTATAGTAACCTATGTCACAAATACTTATTTGCCTTATTAACTGATAGTGTAAATGACAAATAATGACATGCATTTCATAGATGCTTTGTGTGCTTTTATAGCAGCACTCTTGAACTGGAATGCCTCTGTGTCTCTGTCGAGTCTTTACACTAAAATAAAGGTTTGTATGCATAAGCTTTAATGTAAAAAGGCAGCTTTCTTAGCCGTTTGTTCAGGTGATTGCAGTGGCAGTGTAATTTCTTTTTCCGGGTGTCTGCACTGAATAATGCTGCCTCAGTTGCTTGATGTTGTGTTTAAGACTGACTGTGTCCTTGTTTCTGCTCGTATGTCCTTGGCTGCAAATTGTTCTTTAACTAACAGTATTGAGCCTTTGTCTCAGGTTTGATACCTCAAGGGTCCACCTTAAAACAGGTGCACTAACTGAAAGTAATTGATTAACTATTCTTGCTTTTTAATGTATGAATTGCAGTGCACTGCAATGGCAAAGGTGTGAAGCTAAATTTGCTCCAGGCAGTGGAGAAGAAGAAACTACTGATCCTTATTAAGATGAAAATGATACTGGACCTGATTTAAAAGCTAGCGGTCCGTGTACAATTTCTAATACATTGTTTTTAAGACAAACTTAAAATTTGATTTAAAAGGGGTTTTTTTTCTTTTCTTTTATTTGGTGTGTCTGTGTGTGTTCACACTCCGTGCCAGCTGGTAGCGTTACTCCACGGTTTCGCCAGGAAAATTTGACAAGAAGAAGAAGAACTGGGAGGACTCCAAACTAGTGATGGGATTCCCGGATCTTTTTAGCGAACCGGCTCTTTCGGCTCGCCTCACTAAAAAGATCCGACTCTTTCGGCTCCGACCCAGCTCTTCAGGTTGTTTTGTTGCTTTAATTAATTTATTATTAACAATAATATAAAATTATGCACAAAAGGAATTACTAATGTAAAAAAAAGTGCTTTTATTTATATATGTTTATATATAAATATATACAGTGGCCCCTAGAGACAAAACACGTACAAACTCCAAAAAGCACGTACAAACTTCAAAACAGAGCTACTTAGATCACTTAAATTACACAATTGAAAGCATATGTGTATTGTTTGTGTATTTATACACAAGCACTCATATATATTCAAATAATTTTTAAAAAAAAGTTCATTTACCTGTTACTACCACACACCAAATCCGGTCGTTGGTACTTGCTGGCTTGTGTAGCCACTAGGTAACAAAAGCTCAACACTGCGCCTAGCATGCTGGAGCACTTCTGTTGTGTTTTGTACGTGTTTTGGAGTTTTTACGTGCTTCTTTTTTATGTGTTTTGGAGTTTTTACATGTTTTGGAGTTTTTACCTGTTTTGAAGTTTGTACATGCTGCTTTGTCTCTAGGGGCCACCGTAAATATACTTTTATTTATTCACTCCACATAAAATGTAATAAATAAATCATATAATACAAAAACCAACTAGTCACAGTTCAACTTTTAACTATTTAAAATTTCAGCTTTTTTCTTTTAAACAAATTTAAAGTGAAACAACACAAAACACTGCAAACCACAACACAATTAAATATAAATATGAAAAAATATGAAAACAAAAAGAAGATGCACATTCTCTGTCATATGGGCACAAGGCTTGTGTGCGGAGTGAAGCAGAAAAAAGTGCAAGAGAGGGTGAGAGAAAGAAAAAAAAAACACAGCTTGTGATAAGGAGTCGGCTTGCGTCGTTCATGTCAAAGAGTCGGCTCTAAGAGCCATTTCGTTCGAGACCGACACATCACTACTCCGAACACCGGCTTCATCAGTGTAACACACAGCTGGTGGTAGTAATGACAGACACATAGCTGTGAGTTATTGTGCTCTGGGTGTCATTCCTAAATGTCGTTTGAACTACAGTTAGAGACGATAAGCAAGCTAATAACAGCTCGGAGGACTCGCTCGTCTCCCTGGAGTAGCCTCGGTTACTAACAAGTGGACTGTGTACAGTGTTTGGACTTCACAGCTGCCTGCCTGGGAAAGGTAATGTTAAAAACTAACAACAACAGCCGGTTTTATCTCTAGACTCTCTGAAATGTAGTCTGATAGTTATAAGTTTCCTTTTCTTGTAGCCACATTAGCTTCTTGTGCCACTGAGCTGGTGCGCTAACCTTTCACACTTTGTTTTCTCGTGTGTTTGCGCACTTCTCTGCCTACAATATTTAGCGCAGTAACAGGTATCGCGGTTATTTTTTTACTACTATCGCATAAATCAGTGCCTAATGTAAAAGAGCCAGAGCAGTTCCTCTTTCTAGGTATACTATAAAACACCTCGTACAGGCGGGATGTCTTTGTTAGGATTTGCTGCTAGGATTTTAAAATGATTTCTCTCTCCTAGCTGCAGCCATGGTGTTTGTGCAGAGCTACTGTGAAGCAAATTCCTCCATCTTCATAACCTGGGTGGATGAAGGCATCGCCCCCTGCTTCTACTTCACACTGGTCCCCACCATCCTGCTCTCCCTCTCCTTCCTCCTTGGCACCATCCACTGCATATGCTACCAAAAGTATGGCACGCAAATGGAGCGCAAGTTCATTCCTCGCTCCTGCCTCTATGGTTTTCAGCAGGTCCTCCACGTCTTTCTGATCATCCAGTTTCTGGGTGGAATGATTTGGAGAGCCACGAATGCAGATGAACTTCCAGGGTATGTGGTGCTGTACGGCTGCTTTTCCATCCTGGGATGGGCCTGGG